TGGGAAGTCAGTTCCTGCTGAGACACAGTCAAACGTGAGTTGCAGGACTGCTCGGAGCTTTCAGTGTGCTGGGGGTGGTGGGTGCGTCCCAATAAGGGGCCACTGAAGTCATCTGTGAGTGTAGAAGCACCAGTCTGGGTCTCTCTACACCTCATTTCACATCCCCCATTTCTGGGCTCCCCACTCTGGTCAGCCCCATTCTTTCTCCCTGCTTCTCCAGGGAACCCTCCCTGACCACCCCAGGGCACAGTGTGTGCAGTGTGTGGCTTCCCTGGAACCCACTCTGAAGGTGTGACACTTGATTTTATGTAGCTGTTTTAGATTTGATGCTTTTTTTTTTTTTTTTGCCTTTAGGGTCAAAGTGATGGCCCTTTTTATACCATTTGTCCACTGTACCAAGTCCCAAGCACTACAAACAGCAGGTATTGAAACAAAGTTGATGTCTGATAACTATGAAATCAGGAAATTATACAAATCTGAAAGCAATATAAAGCCAGTTACTAGAAGGGAGTGTGTGAAATAGAGTCACATCAGCTATAGGAACAGAAGTAAAATGGACAGTGAAGACTCCGTCCCACCCAAGTTTCCATCAGGGTGATCATCCCACCCCCTGACCTGGGGGGGCCCCAGACGGGGGAACCCCCAGTGGGAGGCAGCCTACGGATTTAGTCCCGGCAAGGCCCATGACAGAGGGCATGACTGGCGTGAGGTGTTGAGACACTGGGCATCTCACTGCAGAACCCACGTTTTATAGTTTCTATAAACACCAACCACACACCAGTGTGTCTGTTTTTCCTCAGGTAATTCCAAGAATACTCCAGGTTCAAGGACCTAGTAATGAGGCTGAAGTTCTCACAGGGACCCTAGATTTTTGCACATTTCAGAAACCAGCTCTGTCAACTGAAAAGCACCACTGAGGAAGAGAGTGGACCCTGGAGGGGCTGCCTTCAATCCTAACGATGTTGACTGCTCCCCCTGAGTACTGGCCACACCAGGCTTTTATTTTGAGCACTCCACACACCATCCACTTTCACCCTGAACAGCTCCATCTCTCGTCTCCATGTTACAGATGAAAAAACTGGAGCTCGTGTGCCGTGAGTCCCCTGTGATGGAAGGCACACCACCAGCAGACAGGAAGATCAAAGCAGGGAGGGTGGTAGAAAGGGGGGCAGAGAAGAGACTCCAGAGGGAAGAAAGTGAGGAGAGAGCAGCATGAGGACGAGAGGAAGCTGGCGCGGGAGGAGTGCAGGGCCTGGCTCTGGGTCCCCGGGCCTTTGTGAAGTAGGAATGAAGCAGGGAAATTGCTGATGACCGCCCGGAGACACAAGCCACGAAATATGCAGAAGCCATTTCCTCTCTCAAAGAAGATAAACAATAGATTCATAAACAAATTTTACAAAGACTGTCCAGCTATTTAAAGCATTCTGGTAGGAACTCATATCCTATGTGAACATAAAGTTTAATCCTGGAAAAATGTTCAGCAGTTATGCTGGGGATAGGGAAGGCGGGAGACAGACGGCAAGGGGAGAGGGACATATTCCTTGCCTCTGTCACCTGCTAGTGCTGTGACTATGGCCACTTCCATGTCCTCTCTGAGCACTGATTTACACTTCCGTGACAAAAGAATAGTAATCCCAGCCCTGCCGCACATTCTAGTAATATGGCAGATCAGATATACTACTTGACCATGCCAACTGAAACAACTAACATGCTGGATACAATTTCAAATATAAAAACAGACACAAACTGCAGAGTTGGTACAACTGGCTGGTACAGCTGGAAGTATTCCTCAAAGGCCAAAACAACCCAAAATAGCAAAAAATTGACTTTTGCCCTGAGTGTTCCTGCTAGTTCCTAGAGATTTTAAATGCCCCCATGAAAGTTGCACAGGGTGCAGGATAACACTCTAGCTCCTATGTAAAAAAAAAGTTGGTACTCCAAAAATCTCCACCTTCAGTGAATCAGAAATACACACACAATACAGAAGAGGCCGCCAGGCAACTTGACCTTGGGCTGTGTAGAATGAACATTTGTGACCCAAAGCAGGACCTCACATAGGTTTGCAGTCTGCATTCATGCCACTTGGGTAGCCAGAAAAACTTTAGGTAGAAAATTAGTTTGAAGTGTTTCTGGTTGGCTTTCACTCCAGACAACTGCACAAGTTAATTGATAGACCAATTAATAGTCTCTGGAAAAATCAGCATCAAGCTAGATCTCAAATGATTGTCAAAGACAAAGTTCAAAGGAAAATGAGTGAGCACCTCACAGAAAATGACATTAAAAACAGCAAACAAGGCAGCATGAGTACTAATCAGAAGAAAAAACAGATGGCAGAATCAGACCTGCGGAGATTTCATATTCTGGAATGGCCACACATGAAAGTCTGTAATCTCTAAAGAGTTACTTTAGCGTGGTAAATAAAAAAGAAATTTGCAGATATGAGCAAGAAATAAGAGACTAAGGAAATCACCAAGTGGATATGAAATGTAATGGGCCAGAATTTCTTGAAATGATAAATAAAGGAACTCATGGAAAAAGTTCAACAGAGCAGCACTTGAGACACAGAGTAAATTAAGTGGAAGACAGATTTGAAGAAATTATTCAGAATTCCCCTTCAGTACTCAGAGACAAAAAAAAAAAAAAAAAAAAGAAGGAAAATATGATACAGAGGTTGAGAGAGAGAGTCTAGAGTGAGAAGGTTTACAAAAGTCTAGAATGAGGTTTACTAGCTGGAGTTCCAGAAGGGGATATTAGAAAGGGGGAAGGAAATATTCAAGGAAATGAAGGGTAAGACTTTTCCAGAATCTCTAGTGCTAGAAATTCCAACAAAACCCAAGCAGATTAAAGAGAAATTTATACCCAGTGACGTGATAATGAAGCTTCAGGACACCAAAGAAAGCAGTACTTTTATAGCTGGAGAGAAATGTTGGGTCAGTAATAAAGGAACAGTTTTAGACTGACAGTTAACTTCCCAACAACAGCATTTGAAGCCAGAGTCAGTGGAAAAATAGCTTTGATGACCTGAGAGAATACATCCAGTAAGGCCACCATTCAAAACCATGAACAAAAGAAGACATTGCCAAGCCCACAAAATACACACACACACACACACACACACACACTCTTGAGTTTACCACCAATAAACTCTCACTAAAGGGTAATGCTAAACTTAGGATTTATTTTAGGTTGAAGAAAAATAATCTCAGGTTCATGAAAGAATGGTGAGAAAAGATATTGGTAAGGATGTGGAAAATCTGTACAAACACTGCATAAAATAATGTCCCCTACCTTGTAGGGGAGAAAAACAGGATAGAATGAACACACAGTATTATAACTGCATATCAACTAGGAAAGGTAACGACTGGAATTCAGCCAGTCTATGGTGCTTGTATTGTTTGGGAAAAAGGTAAAGACACTGATTAATATTAGACTTTGTTAAGTATGCCTGTTAAAACAGCTGGGGTCACTTACAGAGTGTATGACTTCTAAATAAGGAAATGAAAAAAATGGAATGAAGGAAAAAAACATCACAATTGAAAAGAAAAAGCAGGAAAAATGGAAAGCATATAAAGCACCTCATCAATAAGATCCATTTATTCTAAATATCTATGCACCAAATAGCATTGCTTAAAATATATAAAACAAAAACTTTGAGCATTCCAGTTAGAAATTGACAGATTCAGTGGGAGATTTTAACACACTTCTCTCAATAATTGATAGATGAATCAGACAAAAGCTGAAAAGACATATTATAAATGATTTGCAAGGCACAATGCACTGACTTATTTCAGTGAACATATATAGAAAACTATATTCAAAACTAGAGAATACATTTTTTTTTCAAACATTCACATGGAACATTTAAGAAAAAGTTAAAAAGAGATAAGATATTTAAAAAGGAGCTCACCGAAATGGTTCAATGTTTATTTCAAACTCTCTCCCAGAGACCAAACCTACTCGGTCTTTAAAAAGACAGACTGTGGGCCCTCCCTGGTGGCGCAGCGGGTTAAAGCACAGCACTGAGAATCTAAAGATGCTTCAGCCTGAGTTCGATCCCCGCCTGCCCTGGAGGAGACCACATGGCGTGGCAGACCTCTCCTGACCCACCCGCTGATCCCCTCAGCAGTGTACTTCGTCGATCTGCCTGTTCTGCTCCCCACTCTGTCTCTGGTGAAGCCTCTCACCGCCCCTGAGCCTCTGGCCTGTACCCCAGTTCTGTATGCACAAATAAATAAATCTTAAAAAAAAAAAAAAAGACAGACTGTGTTTCTTGTCCACTGGTATCACTCCAGAGTCTGGACTGTACTAGGAGGCTTGTACTAAGTACTGCAGAGTGAACAGGGAATGAGTGACTGATTTTTTGTTGATGGAGCAACTGGCACGGTTGGCACATGGAAAGGGACAAGAGGACAAAGTGAATGGTCCTTGTCTCAAGGGAGAATTTACAGAAAAAAGAAAAAGCAGAGACAGGACAGTCATCTTCAAATTCTCAATCGCTGACAACCTCTCTGATTCCAAATGGCAGAGTGGCTGAGAGGCCGGTTGGAGAGAGGAAGAGTTGAACCAAAATCAGGAGGAATTTTCTAACAATGCACTGTTCTACACTGGTGGAGAAGTGGCCTGGCCAACATCCTGTGTGCGACAGGAGACCCCACCTCTTGGTGGTCCCACTCCATGGGACCCACCCTATTCAGAAGTTCCTTGGCCTTAGATTCCCTGGATGGCCACTCCCTAAGAGATCTGCCCAAAGTGTCACATTCGGGAGGTGAGAAACAACAAGATCGTCAGTGTCCCACAACTCAATTCACCGTCCTTTCTGCTCCACCATCGGCCTCCCCATTAACCAAAACGCGCACACTTTGCCCTTAAGACTGACATGCACTTTCAGAACGTACCCATGTAGTCCCCATTCTTCTAGACATGGCTAGGGATTACAAAAGCCTACGAATGAATTAAAATGAAAATTCCTAAACCTTCCCGGAGGAGGAAGGCGTGCTCACCTTGACCTCTGCAGCAGATGGGTGAGTTGGGGCTCTGAGGGCTTCTCCTGTGGCTGGCCAGTCATGCTGTTCTCATGCTGCTGGGCAGGTGGGCAGAGGAGACCTGGTTCTATCAGAAAAAGAGAAGGCAAGGTCACTCCTTCATGGTTTGCTCTTGGCTCTCCCAAGTGCTCTTGAGGCTGGCCTTACCCGTTCTTGAAGCGCCATCAGGGAGTTGACAGAATACACCAGACAAACATTTCCTGTGGTTGACAATGTGCCAGGCACACTGACTGGAATGAGGTTTGCGAAGTTGAATCAGACCCCTCCTCCCCCACAGAGAGAAAGAGAGAGAGAGGTATACATGCTTCATCACAATATAAGTTGTAATTTCCCAAAATTCATTTGATAGTCTACAAGTCCCAGCAGCCGCATAGTAGACGGCTTCCCGAACTACTTGTGACGAAGGACCAGTGGCTTTATCTTGAATTTCCCATCTACTGCAGATGCATACTTTTTAGAAGCTGTAATAAAAATGAACTAGAAAATGAACTTGAAAAATACTCATGCAAAGGACAAGTCCATTTTCTTTGATTATTCAACAGATCGCACTGTCAAGTCGGCATGAACGTTTCTAAATGCTTCCCCTCAGTTTCCGTAACTTATCTGGTAGTCAGCAGCGTGCAGGAGGCCACGGTCCCAACAAGCACACCTGGTAACATATGGAGTGGGTTTCTGCACGCTGCACCTTTCCTATGATGCACTGACCTCTAACTCCCGGTTTAGAGAGAGTGGCTGGGAAGAAAAAGGATGTCGAATTCATTCTCTGGACTACGGTTTTGAGACTTCGTCATCTCTCTCCAGGCAGTGTGGCTTCAACACCAACTTGCTGGATTCAGGTGACAGAGCATGAAGTTCATGGAACCTGGTCAAAAATTGTGCCTGGAGCCCCACACCCTTCCATCTCGAACTTCCTGGCCCCCCTGTAGCCCCTGGCTGAAGTTGCTGTCTTGAATGGGCGGAGCAAAGCACCAGCCATGGAACAGACTGGGCCGTCTCAGAAAATAAATTATTCCCCAAATGTCAAGAGGGCTGCTGGTGTTCATTCTACTACTTAATGCTTGCTACAAAAATATGATTTAAAAAAAATTGAGAAATCCTTTGTCTTTGACAGTCAGCTCTCCCCCCTCCCCCAAAGCCTTTAAATGCCTATTGCCGTAATACTTGAGGGAGAGATTACAGTCATTTTCACCCATTTGAATGTTTAAGAGAAAGTGCTCATTCCTCTAAAATCTCAGCTTTTAAGTAGTTCTTATTTTAAACTTTAGAAGACAACTCTGCAGAAGAAAAACTTCCCTTTTCAAAGTCTTTTTTTTTTTTTTAATGCAAATATACATGCACCCTCACTCCCTGCTTCAAATGCTAAATCATCTGCAATTTGGGAGTTTGTTGCTCATGAAATCCTAGCAATAAGCACATCATAAACATTCGATAGCAACAGAATGCTTTTGAAGCAAGGTCTGTAACGTTACAAAGATTGTATATCATTATCTCCGAATGTTGACGAAGACAAGGTTATGGGAATAAGTGTTTATGTACAAATAAATCACTATCGCAAGTGGCAACCTGAAGAGAGACCTTACCAAGAAGTAAGTTGGGGCCTGGGGCACTGGAAGGCAGGAGTGTACCTGCCGTGGCGTCCGTGAATAAACCTACTGTCCCTCTCAACAAACCGCCCTGCAGCAGTGACTCCTTGGAACAATATGTCCCATGAGCAAGAGTCATGGTTGAATGACCACACAGTCAACTTTTATTGGTCATCTACTATGTCAGGCCTTGGGCTAGACTCTGGGGCTCTCAAGGTGGGTTCTTCCAAGAGAGCCAAGACAGCGACCGATAAGCAGGAAATTACAACTCCCTTCCCTGATAAGTGTACTGGCAAGTTTAGGGGAAAGAAAATGTTATAACCAGCTGCAACCAACTCTCCACCCATTATGCAACAGTGAGACCAACGTGGTCCCTGCTTTCATGGAGTTTATAATCCAGTGGAGGAAACCAACATTAACAAATCAGAAATGACTGTGATAGTGATGTGCTCTAAAGACGGATATCACTGTCATAACAGCTTAGGGCCAGGTGCAGAGGGCGCATGGGAAAGGGTCCGTGACAATGTCTGTCATCATCTGGCTCCCGGACCCCACAGACAACACAACCCCCAAATGCTCAAGTTCCTTATATACATATAATCTATGAACATCCTCTCTACTTTAAATCATCTCTAGGGCCTCCCTGGTGGTGCAGGGGTTAAAGACACAACACTAGCAAGCTATCACCAGCCACTGCAGCACAATTCGATCCCCATCAGGCCAAGGAGTGACCCACATGGCACGGCAGACCTCTCCTGTCTCGCTCACTGCTCCCCTCAGCAGTGTATTTCAGTCAGTCTACCTGTTCTGCTCCCCACTCTGTCTCTGGTTAATTCTCTCATCACCACTGCACTTTGGCCTGCACCCCAGTTCTTGCATACATACATAAATACTTTTAAAAATCATCTTTAGATGTAGATGCTACAGGACAGCTGTTCTACTGCATGATTCAGAATACTGACAGGAAAAAGCCTGTGCTTGTTGAGTTCCGTGTTCAGTTACAGGCGTGACCATTGTACACTAACTACATGCTGTGTATTTTCCATCCACAATTGGTTGAACCCAGGCATGAGGAACTCACCAGACAGGAAAGGGCTGAATGTAATTCATCTTTAATCTGAGCCCTAAGAATCAGTCAAGCGAAACAGGGAAGGCAGAAGGGGAAAATACAGAGAAAGAGTGATGCCCGGCACAATGACTAGCCAGGGCCAGCATCCTGGGGACAGGGAGTCAGGTGCATACTGGCTGGGAAAAGGGGGTGCTTAGTGAGGATCAACTCAGCTCATACCTGCTTCCATCACTATGGTACTCAAAGCAGCAAGTAAAGATGTACAGGTTTTTCAAAACATACTCTGCTCTTCAACAGTGGTAGTAACTTGGCCAAACTCCAGTTTGGCTGGTGGTCACATCAGGTGGCCAGTGCAGGTCTGGGGAAGCCCACCTTCTGTGATCAAAATGCTTGCTGGAGCCTCACAGCAAGATGTTACTCTAAAAGAAGTTCATACAATTCCATCTGTGGAACATGAGCTTTCAAGCAAACAAGAAGACGTGGGTTCAAATCTAACTATCCTTCACTGGTTATGTGGCCTGGTTCTTTTATAAAACCATGTTAGCAGGGCCTTCCTTTCAGGGTGTCAGGGAGAGCATGGGCCCCACACAGCACACACTGCCTGGCTCCTCACAGGCCCTGGCTGAGAGGCAGCATCACCATCACCACCAGGGAGTAGGGACAGTCCTGTGAAAATCAACAGGAATCCATGAAATGGTTTCCAGCCAGTACTGAGGCCACAGCGTTGCTTTTCAAGGGTCCAGGGGTCCTGATGGGCCACTATTTCTCGGCCTCTGCCCTCAAGGATCCCCAGTTCCAGCCGAAAGCCCACTCCTTACCAGGCTGACCCTCACTGAGTCACTCCTCACTTGACCCAGGCTTAACCTCTCCGGAGGAATCCACATACCACCCGAGGGCTGTACAGAGCTCCCAGGGGCACCAGGCAGCAGCTGGCAGAGTTGGTTCTGCTTCTAGCTCCCCCACTAAAGGCTGAGGTTAAACAGCCTGGTCCCAGGCGGTAGAGGAGGTGCCGTCAGTGCTACATCCTGGAGGCTCAACAGCCCAGCCACGGCCTGGACTTCCCCACGTATATCTAACATGTCTGACGGTCCTGGGGTTGCTGCTGCCATCACCACGTTACAAGTGAGGAAACCGAGGCTGCCGACTTGTCCAAGACAACAAAACCGAGTAGCAGAGACCTGACATAAAGCCCCAAAGCTCTTTCTTTTCGTTCTGTCACCACACCAGCATGCTCCTCTCTGGGCCTCAGTCTCTCTCCTGTATGATGTGGGGACAAATGCTGTCCATCAGAGCACACTATTGTTAGATATTGTTAGATAGAGTTAAGAGAGGAACAGAGATGGAAGTGTCTCAGAAGGGAAAAAAAGAATATGTGGAAACAAGCATTTTAAATTCATACATAAAGGTCCAAAGAATCTCCTGACCTGGCCCCTGCTCCCCTCAGCAGTGTACTTCATCAGTCAGCCTGTTCTGCTCCCCACTCTGTTTCTGGTGAATCCTCTCACCTCCCGCACCTTGGCCTGTACCCCAGTTTTTGTATGCGTACATAAATAAATCTTTAAAAAAGAAAAAAAAAATGTCCAAAGAAGAAGGGTTCTTCTCAGCCTCAAGGCAGCTGAAATGAGAGAAGCAGCTGCTATCTCATCAGCTGAGAAGAGGGCGTGGCCCTGGGGTGGGGGTAACGATGCAGGATACCAACCACAGAGATTCTGAAATGGGAGGCAGGACTAAAGGAGACGTGAATCATTCTCTTATAACACCCACCATAAATTAGGAATTGGCACCAATTTTAGAAAGAGAAAGGGGGTGGGGACAGGAAGAGAAGGAATTAAATCTGTGGTTATCTAAGAAACTATGAGGAGAGTAATCAATGAGATGAGAAATTGCAGGTTCCAGTCACTTGGGAGCCAGACATCGTGTTAAAGGGTGCTCAGTCACGGACACCAGGACCGTGGTGGCCTGGAAGGACAGCTCACTCTCAAGGGAGACACAAGCTCGACCACTAGGAGAGATCGGGACTTTATAGGTGCAGGAAAACTCCCATTCTCGTTGAGAATTTCTCTCCTTTCAATGCCCCCTTCTCACACCTAGCCCCACAGAGGTTGAAGAAAGTAGTTTTCATTTGCTGGAGGAGGGGGTTCCTGCCCAGATCATCTATTTTTTTTTTAATAATATAATAAGTTTATTTTTACATCTTTTTGTGCATTTTTCCATCTCAGTTGTAATCCCCACGGGTTTTCCATCACCCACATCACCCTGTGCCATCACCATAGTCCCGTGCATTTCCCTCCCCCCACTGTTTTTGATCCCATTCCCCACTCCACCCCCACAAAATGTCTCTGGTATATAGCTGTTTATTATTTTTACTATTTTCTCGCCTGGTCTGTTATATTCCTGCTATGAGCAAAACCATCC